TTCTGATATATCCATTAGTAATATATGACGATAAATTGTACATTCTCGTTTTTCCTTTTTCTTTCTTTCTTTCTTCTATATCAAGGAAACTGATGTTACTAGTTCAACATCTCTTGTGGTCAAATCATTGACGTTAGCCACGCGCAATCCACATCAATCATAATCACGCCTTTCTCCTTCAGTCACTTTGTTCTTCGGTGGCTACAACGAGCACAATGTTATAATGATGAATCACACATTCATATATATGTATATATACATGCATATACATATACATATATATATATATATATATACGAGAACGAGAAAGAAAGACTAGTAGAATAATTGAACTCTTTCTCTCTCTCTGTTCAATTTAGAGAACAAAAAAAAAATGGAGAAGAGAAAACTTTTTTTTCTCTCTTCATATGTCGACATTAAAATGAGACAATTTCAAAGAAGGCGAAGAAAAAAATTCATCTAATCAAAAGTGCAAAAGGTCATTTGAAAACCTACTCTGCTGCTGTGGTTGCTGCCCAGATGATTGAGCAGCAAGCCATAGAGGTAATTGATCATGACTGGATGTAGTTGATGATGATGATGAATGTATTTCGCTACTACCATTCGAATTACTATTATTATTATTATTATTATTATTGTTATTGTTATTGTTATTATTATTATTAAAACGAAAACGATGATGATCGAAAAGATACTGTTGTTGCTGTTGTTGAAAAAATTGATGAGATACATTTGGTGGTGAAGGCGTTGCGGTAACAAGTAAACGTTGATGTTTTAGTGAATCAGGCGAAGAAGTATTTGAAGAACAAGATGATGTTGTTGGATATAATCCATTCGCAGAAAAACATCCCATATCATACATGATCAATGAAATAATAATAATTTGAAAAAATAAAATTAAAAAAAAGATCAACGTTTGATAACGATTATAATTATGATTATTATTTGTTTTTGTTGACAATCAACCAATGACGATGACAGAGGCTATCTTTTGACAGGATGATGTTCTCTACACGCATGCGTCTCGGCCATAGGTCGTAGTTGTCCAATGTGCTTTGCTATAGTATGTATATATGTATTCTTGCTCGTCGTTCTTTTTTTCTCTTCTTTTCCTCTTTCTCTCTCTCTTTCTCCTTCTCTTTTTCGCTGTACATACAATTAGAATAACTGTAGAGCGAGCGACAACGAACACACACACACATACACTTATACAAAAAGAATAACGGAACACTCGCTGCTGCCACCGCCCTGTTCGCTCGTTCGCCTTCAGTAGCGTACTTTTTCTTCTTCTTCGTCTTCTTCTTGTGCTTGTTCTTGTTCTTTTCTCTCAAACTTCCCATTTAGTGGCGTGCAACACATGAAAATAAACACACGCGAACATACGATAGTCGGACTATCATCATCTAAGGGCGATATTTGTTTTCGCGAATGGTTCTTCTCTATGTTAAAGCAAAAAAAAACGCGAAGAAAAAGAAACAGAACATAGACAATGAACACACATTTATACATTCACACAATTGACCGTCAGATATACATATACATATATGTATATATATATATATATATATGCGGATGTGTTCTTATCAAAAACGCCGAGTTCATAAGTTGATGAAGAATAAAACAGACAAGCATTTATAACAAAGATTTTAGCTATTACTAATTATAAACAAAGACCTTGTCAATTGTCACTTTAGATATGCCTAATATCTAAAGATCGAGGCATTAAGATGACACTATCTACTACAGACAAAAAAAACATAGACACTGATGATTTAAAAATAACAAATATACTTCATCAATTAATTATTCACAACTGTTATATGTACTTTATTTGACATCGTCACGTCTTACACTATATTTACAATTATGTTTCATTTATCAAAGATAAACTAAGTTAAACACAATACACATAAATCATGTGTTTCAAGTTTTTTCTTCTTCTTTGAATAAAGAATTATTATTATGTTTTTTTCATTGAATAAACAGCAAAATATAATAATAGCAATGCGTAGAGGATCCGGATAAATAATATATTTTTCTTTTTTTTAAATTGAATTATTAAAAATTAACTTACCATGTACTTCTTTGACTTCATTATCAACTTGTACGCGAAAAATTTGTCCAGGTTTAACTAAAATTCGTGCAACAGATGAGCGTGGTGTTCCTAATGGTAGATCAGCTGATGTTGCTTCAGTAAATGAAGCTTCAGCTGTATTCATATTCGTTGAATCAGTTATTGGTTGTGTTGTATCTGTTTCTTGTATTTCATCGATTGTATCTGCAGTTATAATATCAGTTTCTTCAGATCCTGATATTGCTGCTGGTTCTTCAATTTTCTCTTCCGAGATGACATCGTCAGATGGCACTATTGGTGATAATGGAACTGTGTCATTATCTGGACTATCAACATGATTTGATTGCTCTGGCGAATCAAATGTTGAAGCCATTTAAAATACTGTAAATGAATAATAATAATGATAATAATAATAATAATAGATTAAGGGAAAAAATTAAAACAACGTCGACGACGACGATGATTATGAAAACCCATCCAAATCATCTAAAACATAGAGAGAGAAAGAAGAAATAGTTTGTAAGTATGATGTAATAAAAACAGATATTGTGTTGAACTCTCTCTCCGTCATTATCAACTTTATCGTTTTTTTTCTTCTTTTTCTTTTTCTTCTTTTTTTTCTTCTCTTGTTCTTGTTCTTCTGGATGATGAGAACATATAGACAGACACAAAAAAAAAACTTATGTATGCTGTTCTTGTGAACGACAACATCAACTAATCAAAAGCGAAAAAAGAAAAGAACCGTCAACGATGATAATCAAGCACGGACAGTTGATCAACGTAAAACAAGTCTTTTCCTTTTACAATAAATGATGATGTTTTGTAGGTGGAACGTGACTTCAATAATCTTTTTCTATTAAATACTTCTTTCATTCTCTCGTTTTTTTTATATTGCATTCTTAGTTCGAGACACAATAGTCATCATATTGCCATCTGTTCGGTCAAGAATAAATCCAGTAGAATCGGTGTTGTCAATATTTCTTTCTTTCTTTCTTTCTTTCTTTCTATCTCTATGTCAATATTTTTATTGAGATTCTCTCTTAACAATGATTTTTTCTTTGCCCTTCTTTTTTTCCTGTGTTCTTACTTTTATTCATCATTATCCTCTTTCTTTTCAAAGAAAACAAGTAACGATGATCATGAAGAACAAAAACTTAGAATATAAAATAACTAAAAATAGAACCAAAAAGAAAAATAAATATAAAATAGAAGAAAGAACAAGTTTTACTGAACATACCTACTACTCAACTCATATTTCCTTTCTATGTTAAGTTACTATCTGTTATTCTTATCGTTTTTAATATTTTTTTCAATATTTGAGTACACTTAATAACCTATAAATGTACAGATGTTAAAATAGTTTACAAATGGTAGAACTAATTCTATATGATTTTCTTTGTTCCTATTTGAATCTTACATAACAATAGCAATAATATAATGTCCTCACTACTGGAAAAAAAAATGATTTTTCTTTCTTGTTCTTCTATAGATATATCAATAAAGTTGTATTTATTGTCATTTCTGTTACTTACTTAAATATAAATAGAAAAAACAAATAGAAAGACAAAAAAGAACTACTACTAAGAAAATATTTCAACATATGATACTTTATTTTCGTTTATTGATAATTATTTTATTGAATATATTAATAAAGATTATTGGTATATATATTTATATGTGTATTGAATGTTACCTGATAAAACGAAAACAAGAAAATTGAATGATTTATGTCAGTTGCGATAGTTTAGACATGTATTTAGGTCAGATTAAACTATCTAATTACTGTGTCGTCTATTTTTCCTATTTATTATAATAGGAAAAAAAAATAGAAAGAACAGAAATTCATTTCTATATGAGCGCATGTCTATGTGTCATATTGACTAGCACGTCGATAGACTCACGTTCAACATATACCGAAAAAATGAGATGAATATGAAAAATTCTCTAGTAAAGAACGGAAGCGTGTCGCGTAGGTGTTGACTCTCGTCGTTTGCATTCTCGCTAAAAAATTATTAGGTTGTTCAGCAAACGAGAAGGAGAGAGGGCGCGCATCTCTCTTTTGTATGTTGCCGAACCGGCAAAGACGAGTTGTTGTTGGTCGGAAAAGAGATGACGCGAAAAGGGAGAGAAAGAAAAGAATATATATATATATATATATAT